ATTAATGTGCTTTAATTGTATCCAACATTCAGGCAATAAAATGTAAACAGTGTTCTTTAACACAATAAGCACAAGCTAAAAGATTAAGGCTAAATTAATTTTAATGAAAGATTAATAATTGACTATTAATTTAAGATATTGTCTATGTCAACTTCTAAAGGTCCTGGTTTGGTGTGTCTTGTAATTTCAAAGTTCAATTTAATTACATATGACTGCAGAACAACCACTAACATCTCCCACAATTATTTCTGTCTACATACAATCCAAGAGGTACATCATTCAAGGAAAGCGCAACAAGATCTTATGATGAAATAGTAATAATTCAAAGGGTGGGATGTAGTTCACAATCAAAAATACTGGCTCAGTTTTTACTATATTGGCGGGTAGGATTTATTAGGTTTTGCCAAACTCGATGGCTGTTTGGTTTTAGGAGGATTGCTGGATATATTCAACTATTTTACAGTGCCAGAGGCAGAAGTGCTTTCTCCTACAAAAGGTGAGCATTGCTGCCATAATTGGGAAAGATGGGAGAAGCAGATACACCTTTAGAAAAATGGGATATGATTTTTAATATACAATTATTGGAAGATGATAAAAATCTACCTTCCACTAAATCAAATGCTACTCAGAATATCCAGTATCCACAATTAAATAATTGAGGACATGTTTCTGAACCTCTTGGGCTACTGTTATCCATTCCACTTTATAAAAACAAAGAGTCTCTACTAAATCTGCAGACATAATGGGGGGGGGAAATATTTTGGCAGAGTTGATAGCTAGACATTCAATAGTTGGAGGTTTTCTAACCGAAGCCCTACTAAGATAAAATATAGTTAAGTGATTAAAAGAAATGGGAATTCTAATCTATAAAAGTCAACCTGAGTTGTGTTCCTGGTCTAAGTATGGTTCAGAAGTGCTGTGCACATTTTGAAAGAAATCAAGGTAAGTGCTGTGGTAATGGGAATGTGTATAGAAAGTGAGACATCATCAGAGCTGGTTCACACATTCCCCCTATATAGGAGTAGCAACAGCTACCTTCAAGCATATGGTAACGAACCCTGAAAAAAATCTATTAATATCCAACTCCAAAGAGAATGAGGCAAAAGCCTCATATTTGTTGTAATGGAATAGATGGGAAAAGCGACTGACTGGCTCTCTGGTTCATGTTAAGTTTTCTATGCAGGCACTATAATGGGATGAGAGTAGAAATGCCGAATTGAGGAAATATTCTGTGAGAGTCTTTTAGGTATAGCAAAAGCACTTTGACTTACATACCGCTTCATTGTGCTTTACAGCCCTCTCTAAGTGGTTTACAGAGTCAGCATATTGCCTGCCGCCAACAATCTGGGTCCTCATTTTACCGATCTTGGAAGAATGGAGTCAACCTTGAGCTGGTGAGATTCGAACTGCCGAACTGCTGGCAATCGGCAGTCAGCAGAATTAGCCTGCAGTACTGCATCCAAACCATTGCGCCACCAGGTATGCAATGTTTTGCCATAAAAATAGCAATGGCTCCATTCAGTTTAAACAAGCAGAAGAATGTAAATTCACCTTTTTTTAAATTATCAAGAATTCATTTATTCTGAAGCTAAAAATAAATGTCATTGTTCAAAGACTGTGCATGAACCTTGTTCTAAAGATATTAGCTTTTTATACATTCATTTATAGTTTCAAAATAAGAATAAAGTACATAGTTTAGTTTGGGAATAAGAAAGTATTTTATTTGAAAACGTTGCTACCAAGTTATTGCTTTTTCCTTATAACTTGAGGAAATTGAAGCCAGATGTTCCCCTTTTTTTAAAAAAAGACTACACAAAAGCATGCTCAAAACTGTAATTCTGACTATAATTACTTCTAAATCTCTTTAATAATGTAAAGATTGCTTCTGAATAAATCTTTCTGAAAGAAGAAGAGCCTTATTAATCTTCATAGGTTCACAACTTGAGGGCCCAATTACAAATAGTGTCTGAAAGCCTTGTATGAAGACCCCCCCCCCCCCAAATTACTGTATTCAAATACTTTTGCTAAATTGTAATTCTTTATCTGACAGCAAGGCGAAAATAAATTGATTTGTATGAAAATAGTAAAAATAAATGCCTGGATAATAATAATTTCAACATGTTTAATTTAATTAAATATAAATATCATTTTTTTTCCTCCAGACCTCATAACTGCTTCCTGGAAAATAGCCTCCATCATGCCACTGAAAGGTCAAGAATGGCCTTTGGTTGAGAAAAAAAATGCGTGTCCATCACACTAGAGTTAGGATTTACAAAAGATTTCTTCTCAGAATAAACTATTCACTAAAGAGTAATTATCTTGGGGAGAATTTGGTGGCCAGGTGGATATAATCATATAGTTTTCTTGCAATAGCATGTGTTTTGCAAATGCCTTTCTCTGAGCCACTCATGGTGAGAGAATGTAGTCGTATGATCTTGGGAACTCAGTTGAGTAAACTGTGGTTCATTTAACCATGGATAACATATCATGCAAATTTAGCTAGACTTCTCAATCATCAGCATAGATTCTCAATAAAGCCCAGGCACAAAAAAACATCGACAGCGATAATATAAATGCTTCAAGCAACTATTGATGCCTAGAAATATCCTATTTCCACAATAAAATATGATTTGACCAGAAGTTGGATGCAAAGGCCTCAATGTTTGCTATACAGCTGCTAGTATCTTGGCCACATTCACTCCCCAGTAAACCTTGGCCTTGCTAAAATAAGTTCTGCTGATCTTGTCAATAAATAGTAGTTTCTTGCCATGCCCTTGATATCTCAATAGGCGTCACCTTTTTCATTAAGCATAGTACTGTGCTGGTTTCATGTGAATCCTATTTCTGCCCTTCTTACCTTGTTTACTAATATTTGGATCATGGACTTTCAAGAACTTACCACACTTGATCAAAAAGCGATTTGACAACCCATATTTTCTACAGCAATTCTTGATTAGCAGACTAGACAGCTGCTCTTTGGAAAATAAAAATTTAAAACTCCAATAAACATTATATGGCACTCACATGTATTTTATAGATCTTATTTTTAACTTTAAAAATATTGGAATTTTAAGTTGCTGTAATAACTTGACTGACAATGACATTTTCTTTACTGCTCATATTTCATATTTATTAGATTCTAGTATTAGTGTCCTATTTCTTCTTCTTCTAGAAACTCAACTAGTTTCCCTTTATGTTTTTAAATAGCATAATTGAATCTTGCGATTACTCTAGCTCCAAAAAAAATTCTTACATCACAATCTAAAATGTCAATTGATGCATCAGAGCTTAGAATGCAGAACTGCAGACTAACTCACTGGTCACTCCAGGAGTTCGCTTCTGAGCGGCTCAAGGTTGCCTCAGACTTCCATCCTTCCAAGGCCAGTAAAATGAGGACCCAGATTGTTGGGAGCAATATGCTAACTCTGTAAACCGCTTAGAGTGCTGCAAAGCACTATGAAGCGGTATATAAGTCTAAGTGCTATTGCTATCTACTGTACATCACTTTACATTCTTATCATTCATTCCAATATATGGTCACTAGATCAAGCTTAAAATAAATCAGGGTTAAATGTGAATTTTTGAGAAGGAAATAATTCCAATTACTTGGCAGACATCTGTATTAATTATTCTGCTTGGTCATATATGGATGCTACAACTCATCATCCCACTGTATAAGTCCATTTTAATTGTAGGACTACTGATATATGAAGCTTGTCTACTACAATGGTTGTATTATATCAAAAGAAGAAATCAATGAACAAGAATCCTTATGTACCGGTATGTAGGATGTTGCATTACAATTGATGAATACACATGGATGTTTGGGAAAGTTGTTTATAGATGCTGCAACTGTACATGTGAGTGCAGATGTCTATGTAATAAATAAATAAAACATGTATTAAAATGAACTGCTTGAAAAGTTCCTAACCCAAACTATGATTTAATTTGCCTCTAGATGCACTGGTCATATTTGGTGGGGAATTATGAAAGTTGAAGAACACCATATTTAGAAACTCTATTTTAAATATCACTGAATATAAACAGGCATTTTGGCCAAGGAAAATCAGTGGGCTTAAATGTGCATTAGATTATGGCTCAATATTTTAATTACTTTAACCTTAAATGAACAAAACAAAAAGGTGCTGAAAGCAGAATACTGAATAGAAAAATTCACTGTGGATTTTCATTTATGAAATACATTGCTTTTTGGTGTGGCATTTCCTCCTGCACTTTCACCTAAACATAATTAATATAAGTTTTCTATTCATTTTTCATTTATACATACATAAGTATTTACATTTGAACTTTTTTCCAAACACTTTTTTGCAGCTTTGGCCAGGCTCACTATTACTCACTAATGGAAATGAATTTTCTCATTTTTAAAATGTTCATATGCATACTTTTCACTATAAGCACCAATATGGATCAGAAGCAAAGAACTTAAAATTCTGATATCCATTAAATGCTATTTCATATAAAAATGAAATAGTTTGCATTGGAATATCAATTCGCTGCTTCTTCTTACATTAATTCTATGTATTAAAATATAAGGCTATGAGCCTCTGAGGATCAGATAAGCACTGTATCTTATTCCAACACTAACAATCTTTTTTAAGGCAGCCAAAGAAAGGTTCGCACCTACTGTACAGGTAGTTCATTTAAGTACCGTTCAGAATTACAACGGTACCTAAAAAAGTGACGTATGACTGTTTTTCACACTTCTGATGCTTGGCAAGTGACTAATATTTATGATGGCTGCAGTGTCCTGAGGTCACATGATCACCTTTTGCAATCTTCTGACAAACGAAGTCAATGGGGAAGCCAGATTCACTTAACAACCAGGTTACTAACTTAACAGCTGCAGTGATTCACTCAGCTGTGGCAATAAAGGTCATAAAACAGGACAAAATTCACTTAACAACTGTTTCACTTAGCAAGAGAAAGTTTGGGCTCAATTGTGGTCATACGTTGAGGACTTCTTGTATATATATAAAAATCCAAATGCTCATATATTGCTAATCTTTGATTGCATCTTATGCAATATCAATTCAGAAAATTCCAATAATGAAATTATTCCAAGATAAGCAACCTTTTCAATAAGGGTCAAGTTAATTCAATTGAGGTTTTTTTATTCATTATTGCTAATGTTCAACAGGATCACGGCCAACACAGCAAAGCACTCAATCCGCTTCTTCCCTTATGACTAATATATGGAGCTCATGAGTTATTCTCTGTAAAAACAAGTAGTATGAAATTTTCCTGTACTCTAAATACTTAAGTCATTGATTCTTTTTACATGTATCCATGTTTACCAGTATAACATTGTGAGAAATATATACTCAGGTTTAATGAATGCAATTATTCTAGAACTAGGAAATCTGAAATCACAATATCAAAAAGTTTGCACAATTTTCTCTAGTAAGGATCAATTTAGTTTACTTTCATTTCTATATCCAAAACACAGCATCACAAATTTCAAGTTTAATTTTGAGAAGTTTTTTTACCCTTTGCATGTGTGTGTGTGTATATATATATATAAATCTACACACATAAATCTACTTTCAGTGATACAATTTCAGAAACATCACAGAAATTAAACAGATATTTGAAACTTTCTATAGGCACTCTTTTAAAAGTTTTCTTTAATTGTGTGTCTGTTCATGGCTCCAAAGACTAAATGCAGTTTTGAATGTCCTATGGCAAAGTTTGCACATATACTGTCTTTTGAATGTGATAGCTGACAGTGGTGGAGCATGATAAAAAAGTGTGTCAGACTTCTGTGGAACAAATAATTTCTCACTACCTGAAGGGGTTTCTGACAGGCTTGTAGGACTATCCGGTTCCAAAGGCTGTATTTTGGGAAGCGGAGGGGGCGGAGGCAAAGGTGGTGGGGAAGGAGAATTAGCAGAAGAGCACACCTCAGATTCTTTTCGCAAAGGCTCTTCCGAAGCTTGTGCCATATGGGACTGGAAATGACTCCACAGGCGAAAATTGGTTCGGAAAGCCTTATTACACACATGGCAAATAAAGGGTTTCACTGAGCATAAAAGCTCCTGGTGACGCTCTAGCTGCTTGTGTACGGTGAAAATTTTTCCACACTTTTCACAGGGCCACAATCCAGTCTCCTTATTAGCAATGCTTTCCTTTGGTTCCCGGTTGCTTTCAGAGATCTCCTCTTCTACATCATCCACAGGTTCTTCTTTGATCTGAACTTTCAGCTGCTTGGAAACACTAAGATCCTCGGGGAGGCACGAGGAATCTTCTGAATCAAAATTGATTTGCTCTGAGGAATCACTAAATACACCGTCTTCTTTAGCTGCAACAAAGCTGCTGATTTTGTTAGGCTCTGCTTGATAATGTGGTCTCGAAGCATTACTTACTTCACCATTGTGCTCCAGAACTGGTAAAGAAAAATTCTCTGTTGGAGCCATAGTATTCTGATTGTGCACTTCAACTTGATGACGCCAAATACTGAAGGAGGATTTAAAAGTTCGCATACACTCCAAGCAAGTGAGCTTCTTGTATTCACATGTGACTTCATGTTCAAACTTCAGTTCGGGAGAAGAAAACAGAAGACTGCAGTAAGCACAAACTGTGGCTTTCCGGCATAGCCGCTCATGATTTCCTTGTTCAGTAAGAGAAGAAAGTTTAGCATTACAAATACGACACTGGTACACTTTTTTGTTTTCCACTGGGTTTTCATTGCGACTATCTTCTTTTGGTTTAATAAGAGTTTTATTTCCTCCAACCAGTTTTTCTCCTGGATGCATTTTTATATGCTGTTTAAACTGTGACAGGAAGCGATATGCTTTCCCACAGTAGGTACAAATGTAAGCTCCTCTATTTCTTGACCTCAGATTCCTTTTGATTACGTGTTGAGCTTGTGAACTAACTTGTCCCTGAAACCCTGGTTTTCCACGTCTTAATTTAACAATCAAAGCCTTTTTAATTTCCCGCTCTCTTACAATATCAATTAATTTCCTCTGGAATTTTTCATCTAAGACAGCATGTGAACTAGAAGCAGGTGAGGGGTTCTTTACAATTCCATGTTGTGTCTGGCAGTGGGTCCAAACTTTGAAGTTTGTGTGAAATCTCTTATGGCAAATATCACAAGCATATGGTTTCTCTGGATTATGGTACATATTGACATGACGATGTAGGCCTGCTGTTGACCTGAAAATCTTAAGACAGTGTTTGCACTTAAATTTTTTGTTAGGCTTTGTTTCTTCCAGTTCACCACTTTCATCTCTGCTAACATCAGAATCTGGGAAATCAACAAAGGGTATAGGATTCAAATTCTCTTCAAAATTGTCCTCTGGCTCAGGGGAAACATGTTGATCTACCTTCATTTTTTTGAGTGGTAGCCTTCTGTCTGCTTGAAATCGTCTTTTAGCTGGAAGTCTATTGAGCTCACTGTGGTCATCCTCTGCTTTAAAAGAGTTGAGTTCCCTGTGGTCATCTTCAGTCTTAAAGGAGTCACTTTTGTTGACAGATGATAAAGTATCTCCCACTGTGATTCTTATAATTTCAGAAGGATCTGAAAGTGGACTGCTAGGTTCAGTTTTAATCTGTAATTCTTGAGAATTCACGTCCCTGTCTGTTGATTGAGAAGCACTGAAGGATCTAAGACGATGTGGATGCATTATCTGTGTCTTATCATCAGAAGCTGCTATTTCTGAAGAATCTTTCATGGGTGGCTTTTGTGATATTACATTCAACATTATTCCTTGTGCATTGTTCCCTACTAAAGACCTGTGAGAAAGCTTTAAATCAATAGAAGGTGAAGATATAGGAACTTGACTATCCATTGACAATGACCTTCGAAGAAGACTTTTTACAAGTGGTCCACTCCTGTCGGTACTTTGGCCTTCAGGATCAGCTATCCTAGACGGGATTACTAATCCTAATTTTGAATAGTATAGTAAATTCCTGTCTTCACCTGGACTAGTTCCTTTGTCTCTTTCATTCAGCAAAAATGTGGATTCTGATGAACTGCATATAGATTCAATGGGTGGACAAACCTGTTTCAAGGATATTTCCTCTGCCTTTCCTCTTAATAGTTGATCACTTTCTCCTAGTTCATCCGCTGCCAGTTCTTTCTCTACAAAAGACTTCTGTGATGATATTGCATTTCTTTTCATTCTATTTTGATCATCCATTGTAACTGAAGATTCATGGGACTTTGAGTATCTTAAAGAACTATCTTTCAACCATCTCTTTTCATTTAATGATTGGCTATGTTGGAATTCTGTTGACTGCTGTGACCACTTAGTTTTGATAGCAACCGATGACAAAAAATTAGAACTATGGCTTATATCGTGGAAGGTTTGACCAACATTTTCCCCCTGTGTTTCATTTTTGCTCTGACAAACAATGACACTTCTTTTCTGGGAGCCACTTTCATCATCTTCTTGGAATAGTACTTTCTTGATCGGACATGTGGGCAAAGGAACTTGAGGACTTCTAGATACAATGTTAGTAAGAAAGGAAATTCCAAGACTGTAGCCTACTTCTTGCACACCAGCCAGACTGCTTTTCTCAACAAACAAAGATGATGAATAAATGTAGTTTAATACATTGTCAAAGGTATCTGGTTCACAGAAATCAAGTTGAAATACTGTCTGAGACTCATTTTCTTTCTTAGTGAATAGAGATTGGAAGTATTCACTGCTGGCAGCTAGAACATTTTTATGAGCTCGAAATTTTTGATCTCCTACTATGAGAACAACATCACAAAGTTGTCCTTTCAGACGTTGCTCATTTAAAGCACTTAAAAGAGAAATAGCATGTGCAGGATTTATATAATGCAAGAGTCCATCCATGATTAGGTTTATCTGAAAGACAAAAAAGACAAACTCACATTCACAAAATAATTTAGATGGAATAAAAATAAGTAAAAGAGAGCATTTTAAAAATAATATCTCCAAAGCATAATATGGCCTTAATACAGTATGTTTTGTTTATATTTTTAACATGTGTAACATTCTGTATCAATTAAATCCACATAGTGTATATAGATATATATGTAAAATGTACTACAATGTACAACCAGCCTAGTGCACAATCAAGGAGAAAAACTCCACTTTGATTTTACCTGCATATATAAGATTATTTAAATATTTACCAAACAAAACAAAAATGTTTCAGCTTTCCACTACACATGTGTAAAACCTGACAAAAATAAAGACTGGATTGAAAGTAAAACTGGTTAAATGTTTAAAGGCTTCTTTTGAATTCATATTTAATTCTAAATACAAAGGAGATAATCCCAGTTTAATAAAGTGACACAAGGGGGTACTGTACACTCATGTGGGTTGAATCTGAAGTAAGATAATTGTGCAAGGTTCCAAGTGAAATCTACATTAAAAATTAGTTATATATAATTTTGTTACAAGTATCACTGCGAACCAAGAACTAACTTAATCCAGATCTAACCAAATATGTTAGGAGAACTGAGATTCTTGCTCTTTAACATATACACTAAGATACATGTAAACAACCTTTTTAGTCATAAAAGCCAAAAATAAAACGGATAATGGTTTGGAGCCCTATCCTGGGAGGGAAGCAGATATATGATCTGCAGTAATGAAGCATATATGCAGGGCTGTCCAGGGTTGCCTCTGAGGGGTCCTTGGTGCTCTCTGAGGTTGCTTGTTTTCTTTGCAAATGTTTCATTACCCTAACTAGGTAACATCATCAGTGCTTGCAAGGGATGCTGTTTGCTGTCAGTTTATATTCTTATGTCTTGCCTGTTTGTGTGAATGGGGGCGGTCTTAGGGATTCTTTGGTTGGGCTGTTTACTAATGGCTCTTTGGCAGTTTCTTGATTGGGGTATTGCTTACTTGATCGTTGGTCTGAAGTTGACCTTAGAGTTAATCTATGCTGATCTGAGTGCTGATTACTGGTGGAGAGTTATTGGAATATTTTTCTCTTTTGGGCTGGTTGATTGTCTCTTCTGCAGTCTATAGATGTTGTTAATGTCTATGTGTCTATTGATGGCTGATTTGTCAGAGTGCCAGGCTTCTAGAAATCCCCTGGCATTTTTCCATTTGGCCTGGTCTAGGATCGTCACATTTTCCCAATTAAAACTATGGTTAAATCTGTCTATATGTTGTGAAATTAAAGAATTTTAATTTCATGCCCTTTGACTGCCAGTTGGTGCTCATGGATGCATTCTGCCAGTCTTCTGCCTGTTTGTCCTACATAGTGGTTGTTGCAGTCAAAAGACACACAGCAGGATACAAAGAAGGCTTTTCAGGATCTTACAATCCTCGTGTAATCCATGTGCTCTGAAGCGATTATTGCTAATTTCTTTTTCACTGAGTCGCTTTGATGCAAATATTCAGCATGCCTGTTACATGCAAAACTTTCTATTAACCTTCCCCAACTTGGCATCCCTGATACCTGGAACAATGTCATCATAGATTCTTTGACTAATTCCAAATCTACGGACATGAACAGGGCTGTGATATCAAATGAGACCATGATTTTGATCTTTTCTATAGTCATGTCTCTAAAGACACTGTAGTAGAGAATTGAGGTACCCAAGCTTTTTTGTTAATTCTTTTGTGATATTGTAGGTAGGGGTCTCCAGTAATGATACAATTGAATGGAGAGGAATGTCAGGCTTGTGTATTTGGGAGCATCTGTAGAAGCGTGGGAGGATGGGTCTACTGCTTCTCATCTGCCACTGTTTATCTTTGGTAATTTGGCTTTTCTTAGTGAGGTCATTGATAGTACTCTTGATCCGATTGTCTAGTTTTTGTGTTGCCTCTTAAAGGAAAAGGTGGAAGAGACAGGATCAGAAAAAGGAAAGGAGGCAAGGTTGTCGTGCAGGAATACAAGCTAATTTGAGGGCTAACCCTCATGGAGCTCCGTTTCCATCTGTCCTGTTTGCCATCATTCGCTCCCTAGAGACTAAAATGGGTGATCTGAAACTTGAGCTGGCCACGAACAAGGAGTGTATATTGGAGGTGGTGGCCCTTTGAGAGCTGTATGCAACGAAATTTCATTTTGATGTATGCCAATTGGTGTACATTCAAAGTGACAATAAAGTTGTTGTTGTTATTATTATTATTATTACTATTAATGTTCACTGGGATTTAAGTTTCTTTGTGTTCTAGTAGTAGTTCTGCTTTTTGTAGATATTGTGATCTAAGCCCCTTGGAAGATCACCAAGTTTGCTTCAACCCTAGAGAAATTAACTGTATACTGATAACACCAATTTCACATTTAGGTGATTATAACATTATCAGAGACTTAATTCTGTTTTTTGTGCCTTCTTTGCTGTAAAATACAGAAACTTCATTTTGTATCAAAAGTAAAAACACTGTCACTCTATCTGGATAATGATCTGGTACAGCCCTTCAAAAACATTCTTCTGCTAGTCACTGGCTGAAATGCTTATATGGGATCCAACATACTTATTTATATTTAATATCTTATTTTCTACCTTTCATTGTAATTGCTTAGTTGATTCATGAGATCTTTTTTATTGGATATACAGAGCATATTTATTTGCAATATGTAAGAGTACAGAACAATTTATGCAAATGCATTTGACCTGATATAATACTAAAACAAATTTAGCATTATATGGATGTAAACAGCAAGCATCCTTCCTATTTCCTCTCTGTTGTAGCCATGAGAAAGCCCCAAGTCTCTATTTTCTGCTCCAAATTTGTTAGAATCCTCTTCCCCATTTTCAGATGTAATGGGAATCTAAATAGTTTAAAATAGTCTCCCCTTCACAATTGTGTGGAAAAGAAAAGTGGAACTAGGCTCTTTGCTCTTTTTCCCAGTAATGCTCAAAGATGGTTCATTCTTATATCTGCAAGATATCTTATTCTTTAACAACTGAAATACCAAAGAAAATCAAGAAATTTAATCCTAAATCCATACTACTGAAAATAAATAGAACGTACCAGAAAAGGTTTTTTCTTCTTGAAAACACTTGAAAACAAGAAAAATCTTAGATTCACGACTGCATTTACTCCTTAATTGGCAATGATTCTGAAGTCTTTATGTCATCTAGTCTGTTAGGGGGAAAAAAGAAATTATGTTTATTGTAAAACAAAATTAACATCCAGAATGTTATAAGGAGTAATTTCTGCTCCTTGAACATGTAAGAATAACCACACTAAAATGGTTTTCTTGAAGACCTACATTTTCAGAATGCAATTTAAGTAGGAAACAATCTGTTTTGGAAACAATTCAAAGTAATTGGTTATAACTTCTAACTCTTTAAAGCAATGGGACTAGATTCATTCTCAGATGTGAGTCTGATTGTATTTCAAGAATCTTCAAAAAACTTCTCCTTTGTACATTACATTTCTGAGGCCAAGAAAGGGATCTTTCCAGGGGCTGCTTGTAGATTTTGGAATTCTTGGTTAAAGAAGCCAAACTAATTCAATATTTGATGTTCTTCTTGCAAAAAAATATGTTCTTGGTCAGACAAGCTTTTGGACTTAAGTAACAACTGTTTGGTCCAAACAAATGTGAATTGATACCTGCTAGTTACTGCTTAATATATCTAACATCTTAACTGATTATATTTCATGTTTTGATTGTATTTTCTATGATTAATTACATTAACAATCCCCTGCCCTCAACTCCTGCTATGGTACCTGATCATGGCAGGGTATCTGTGTGTTCCTGGGAGGGAAGAACATGAGCAAAGAAAGCCAGGAGTGCATGCCAAGTGAATGTATATGTGTATGTGTTTACATGTGTATATTCCTTTAATGAAAGTCATTTCACATGTCCAGCTAAAGCAAGAAGGCATCTATATTGGGCATCAGTGATATAAGAAAATGCTGGAGGCAAATCGTCATTGTAGTGATAATGACACGGGCATTAATTAACACTGAGCAGGAAAAGGCAATTTGATCTACTCTAGTATTTTACCAAAAAATCCATAGAATGTAAAATATAAAATTGACAATTAAATTTATGTCAGATGAAACTGACATAAACACATAAACTGAACACAATAGGTAATAAAAAAGCAGAATACTGTACAGATTTTATTACGAAATTATAGTCAGCTTTTTGATGCATGGTAACAGCCATCTGGATACAATGGTAAAACAAACCCTAGTCATGTGTTAGATATTCTGAGTGTTCAGTACAAGCCCATTACAAATAATTCACCCACCTGTTACAAATAAGTTTTTTGATTCACAAGTTCAGCATGGAAACCTATACACAAATGGTTGTATGCGCTTAGACTTTCCCTTGACAGACAGCTGAGCTAAATCAGCAATTGTCTATGTTATTTAAACATCTGAGGATTCGATGAACTTGTTTATGAAATTGTTTATGAATCCAGCTACCCTGGTTGGATTCACTTCCAACTATGGCCCCTAATGTTTGAGCCAGCCAGGTATGTGAATTCCCACTCAAATCTTGCCTCCCAATAGTGACCGAGTTCATTACTACCGTGAGGTACACGGCTCTGTCCAACATAGCTTCCTTCTCAACCTTGGAACGCTTTCTTATTTGCTAATCCCTCCTCAACTTTCCTTTGGGACTAGCTAAATATAATAGGTAATTGTGCAGGTCTTCTAAAAATAAAATATAAGAGCTCTCAATTTTTTTTGCATTGGATTAAACACCTGAGGTTTATTATCCAAAATATCTGGACTTTTTTTTTTTGCTTCCTAATGTATGTAGCTAATGGTATCTTTATGTTGTTTTCAAACTATTTTTAATATCATCTTAGCGCCACTGAGGCATTAAAAGTAGAATTGCTAACTGCAGTTGTAGGGTAGGATCATATTCTTAAATGCAAGGCAGGTTAGGAGGCAGTCGAGAGCTCATTTAGCACAAGTTTGTAGTGGATCTTATTTTCCTCAATTTGCTTTCCCTGTGTAATGGATTGCTGCTGGAGACCAGAAGAAAAATTTACATTGAGGGGGGAAAATTATTTGATCCCCTGCTGATTTTGTACATTTGCCCACTGATCAGTCTGTAATTTTAATGGTAGCTTTATTTTAACAGTGAGAGACAGAATAACCAGAAAAAAATCCAGAAAAACGCATTTCAAAAAAATTATAAATTTATTTGCATTTGAATGAGTGAAATAAGTATTTGATCCCCTATCAATCAGCAAGATTTCTGGCTCCAAGGTGTTTTTTATACAGGTAACGAGCTGAGATTAAGAGCACTCTCTTAAAGGGAGTGCTCCTAATCTCAGCTTGTTACCTGTATAAAAGACACTTGTCCATAGAAGCAATCAATCAATCAGATGCCAAACTCTCCACCATGGCCAAGACCAAAGAGCTGTCAAAGGATGTCAGGGACAAGACTGTAGACCTACACAAGGCTGGAATGGGCTACAAGACTATCGCCAAGCAGCTTGGTGAGAAGGTGACAATAGTTGGTGCAATTATTCGCAAATGGAAGAAACATAAAATAACTGTCAATCTCTCTCGGTCTGGGGCTCCATGCAAGATCTCACTTCGCGGAGTTTCAATGATCATGCAAACAGTGAGGAATCAGCCCAGAACTACATGGGAGGATCTTGCCAATGATCTCAAGGCAGCTGGAACTATAGTCACGAAGAAAACAACTGGTAACACACTACGCTCTGAAGGACTGAAACCTGCAGCCCGCAAGGTCCCCCCTTCTCAAGGAAGCACATGTACAGGCCCGTTTGAAGTTTGCCAGTGAAAATCTGAATGATTTAGAGGAGAACCTGGTGAAAGTGCTATGGTCAGATGAGACCAAAATCGAGCTCCTTGGCATCAATACAACTTGCCATGTTTGGAGGAGGAGGAATGTTGCCTATGACCCCAAGAACACCATCCCCACCATCAAAAATGGAGGTGGAAACATTATACGTTGGGGTGTTTTTCTGCTAGGGGGACAGGGCAACTTCACCGCATCAAAGGGGCAATGGACAGGGCCATGTACCGTCAAATCTTGGGTGAGAACCTCCTTCCCTCAGCCAGGGCATTGAAAATGGGTCGTGGATGGGTATTCCAGCATGGCAATGATCCAAACACACAGTCAGGCAACAAAGGAGTGGCTCAAGAAGAAGCACATTAAGGTCCTGGAGTGGCCTAGCCAATCTCCAGATCTTAATCCCATAGAAAATCTATGGAGGGAGCTGAAGGTTCGAGCTGCCAAATGTCAGCCTTGAAACCTTAATGCAGATATGTCAAACACAAGGACCATGGGCAGGATGTGGCCCGCGAAGTGGTTTTATGTGGCCCGCAAAGCCATCCTGGAAACAGTGAGGGAACAGCCCCTGCTGCCTTGGCCCTGGTCCAGGCCGGCCGGGAGCCAATGTACAATTTTGTGGTGGCCATCTATGCTGAAATGCATTCAGTCTTAGCTCCACAGGGCCGTCCAGAAACAGCGAGGAACCAGCCCCTGCCGCATTGGCCCCACCCCCTGGGTGCATGCTGGGGAGGTGTCACCCTTTGTGAGGAATGAAAAAATGCACCATGCCTTGGCGCTTGCCCCGGTCTCACCCCCTTCTGCCAGAGACCCTCGATCTGTCCCACTCCTGCCCAGGCCCTCACAGGCACCCTTGACGCAAACAATATAGAACTGGCCATGCCCACCCAGAAGGCCACACCCACTCCATCCATACCCACCCAGTAGGCTGCACCCACCCTGGCCACACACCCCCGCCCCCCCAAGGGCAACCGCAATACTGATGCAGCCCTCAATGAAATTGAGTTTGATACCCCTGCCTTAATGACTTGGAGAGGATCTGCAAAGAGGAGTGGGACAAAATCCCTCCTGAGATGTGTTCTAATCTGGTGGCCAACTGCAAGAAACGTCTGACCTCTGTGATTGCCAACATGGATTTTGCCACCAAATACTAAGTCATGTTTTGCAAAGGGGTCAAATATTAGTTAGGGAAGACGAGTTTAAAGAAAGTACTGTACTTGCATAGGCTGCATCCCTAGGCAAATTTTGGTATCTCTGGCTAAGACAACTTTCTCAAATTATGTCTTCCAGATATTTTGGCCTTTAAATTTCATAATTATTTATTTATGGTTGCATCGATAGGAGCAAAAAGCAAAAAGCATTAATGAATCCTGAAACTTAAAAGACATCAACACCCACCCTTCCTTTCCGCAGAGAACGAGCCTGGCCCAATTATGTCTTGCCCAAAATGACATCATATGATTCAAAGCCCATTACTGTACATTCATTTTCGGCGCATGCTCATTCCGCTTAATTATGCCCCACCCCAAATATTATTCCTAAACTAACCGCGTAGGAGGGCAACGCTATTGTATATGGGCACGGCGCAGGCGCAACACAGAAAAGAAAGCCTCCACGAGCTAAAAATGGGCAACAGACATGCGCGCTAGGCAGCTAATAAAAGCAACGTGAATGTATGCCACAGGGTGAATGCGTCTATTCGGATCCACGCATGCGCCGTGAAGGGGTAAGAACTCGTTTTGTAACTGGCGCAGGCGCACACAGGAGCTTAGGACCGCAGCCCTACTCGGTAGGGGAAAATATACCTCAGAGTTACGTCAGGAAAAGACGCCTTTGTGCACGGGGAAACCCGAACCTTTGTCCAGGAGGAGTCCCACCTTAAAGGAGCAACAACTGGGGTCTCTTACTTACCTTCCGCGCATCCCCTTTCCTTCCCCCTTCGGCCGTCTCCTTTTACGATTCACCCGCGCGCGCCGCCGCCACCGCCGTGATTCCATCCATCTTGAATTTGACGTCATCCCACACCAGGGATGAAGTCATCGTTGGGAACGCTTGTCACGTGCGCATCTTTTCGATTGGTCGAAGTTAGCCGGATGGAGGAGGGAGAACGCGCCCGATCCTCAGACGGTGGTGGAGGGGGGGGGGAAACGCGGGTTACGACGAAGAGCCCTGAGGGGGAGACTCCCCTCCTGCGCGGTGGTTTCCTTCTTCTCCCCTTTGGGAAGCGCCGCCGGGCCATGCTCGGACCGAGACAACGAAGGGAACCGTGGGAGAGCCCGCCCGTGAGATTGCGGGGCGCCGAAGCGGTGCGGGGTGACCGCTACCGTTGAGGCTGACGGAACCGGGGCAGGCAGTCCTGGAAAGGCGGTCCCCGGCTCTCTTGCGCGGCAGAACGATTTGGAGAGGGCGAAGCTTTTGTCGAACTAAGGTTGCAGAAGCCAGTTTTTCAAGCACATTGTTTTCGGCTCCAGGATGGCAGATTTTCCCGAAGGAGACAGGCCGAGGAACTTCCAAGAACCAGGCCTTCAAATTGGGGGGAAAGGCGAGAGTTTATGTTTTGGTTTTGTTTTGTGACAGCCTTCAGGCCTCTTCCAGAATGCTAATTTTTTTTTATTTAAAGTTTACAGGCTGTCTAAATAAGCAGAATAAAACCGGTTAAGAACTAGGCAAGCTGTAAGTGTCTAAAATAAAGTAGTTTCAACCTACAGTTCTCAAAACAGAAGTCCACTTGAAAGGTAGCCGAGCTGCCGAATTACGTATTTTGAGAAAGCCATGCTGCGGTATTTTTTCTACAATAAAGTAGCGATTGCCTTACTGGTCTGATTCCCTTACTAGTAATATCCCACCGGTATTAATTAATCTGTCCTTACAGATGTATATACAATATCTATCCTTGAACTTTATTTCATAAGCGTTCTTAACCAGCCACAGTTATGTAGAACTCATTAAATTTCTCATGATACATTCTGCATGTAAGTTAAATAAAGCAATACCATACTATTTGGGTGCATTCCTTTCCCAGTTTTAAATTGTGTACAGTATGCTTTAGATCAGTGGTTCTCAACCTTTTTAATGCCGCAACCCCAACCGGTCGTAAGTCGAGGACTAAACTGGCCGTAAGTCGAGGACTAAACCGGTCGTAAGTCGAGGACTACCCAACCGGTCGTAAGTCGAGGACTTTCCCTGCCCAGGAGCGCGGCGCATGCGTGGTTCCGCCCCCTGCACTGGCAAGCGGCAGAGACGGAGCAGGCCGACCACCAGCTGGCCCAGCCCAAGGGAGGTAAGGCACCTGCCGGAAAAGGGGAAAAAAGATGGCGGACAAAAAAAATGGCAGACAAAAAAAATGGACAGCCTTGCTTGGCGACCCCCGTGAAATGGTTGATCGACCCCAAATGGGGTCCCGACCCACAGGTTGAGAACCACTGCTTTAGATTTTGCTTCAATTTTTTTGCCTTTGGGTCATCTCATTAATTTCTTAATGGGCAGATGAAGTGGTCTGATATACCCATGTTTAAAGGACTATTCATAATTCATAATAGACTATGCAGCTAAAAGCCATTGTAGAATCAATAAACCAGTCGTTTTGGCACTATCTTGTCATTTCCATTTTACCAATGTGATCTGAAGTGTTTTCTAAACATAAATTGTATATCTGAAAGTTTTTGTTGCACATTCTGCAGTAGTCTGGATTATAAAATCTTGATTTATGATATAAATACTAGTGTTTCATGGTTGAATTTTTTTTTAGTACTGCTCTTTTATAGTATTAGAGTATGAATTTATCTTTTCCAGTCCCTTGGCGACTTCTGTTTTCCATAATTGCTTACAAATGTCAAATGTCTATAATATCTTGCAAGGTTTTAAATTGTTTGTTGGGCATTTTATATTTAACTGTATTCAATATTCTTAGGCAAAAATTATTGTAATTTTTTATTCTGGTTTATAATTTAAAATTTAAGGCATACCAATTACAGTTACTAATGGCACAATAACCTGATTTTAATAGTGACTTAAAAGTATAATATGAGATACTCTAATATATAATGTCAGTTTCTTAAATTAATTTTACAATCTGCAAATCTATTCTTGTTCCTTTTATTTTTTCCTTGTTTTTCCTTTGATTGTGTCTGTAAATCTAATAAATTAAAAAAGAAAATTACAGAATTTAAAGGAATCCTTTATCCAAAGATAAGTGTCATGAAAGACAAAGAAAACAAAAAACTGTATCCCCATAAAAAGCAAAACCAAACTGATGATACAGCAGCTTGTTCACTGAATTAGAGCTAGATGTACCAGAAACTAAAAGAGAAATGGTATCTAAAAATGTCCCTAAATACAATGTTTTTAATTAAATGTAGAAAAAAGTTCGTTCCACGGAAAGTCTTCCATTCAAAATTATTTACATTCCTTCAGGTTTTCCATTTATTAATACTGTACATATTTTATAGGGATGTAAAAAAGTTCTTCGGAGAGATAGGGCATAAGATCTAAAATGCAATTTTTGCTAATAATTTTAATGGATAAAATTGCTCATATGTGCTCTAGATTAGCAGTCAGGTGGATAAAGCTTGATGAGATAATATCTGTTGCTGTTTTCTAGAACTTTTTGAGGCTGTGGAACCCAAGCTAGTAAACAGTTGTCTTAATCCTAACTCTTATCATTTATGTGCTTGACTCTGTTCTTATGGTTAGTTAAAGCAGATAGGAAGAAAGCAAGGAGATGGATTTAGGCAACAGTCAAATAGGAAAGCGCCAGCCCTTCTCAAGGGACCTGCTTTGGTTTCATTATTAGCAGATAGGTGGGCACAGTGAAGAACAAGTTCTCCATGCAATAAATACTAAGAACCAGGGCTTTTTTTTCTCATAGAACGCCCAGAACGGAGTTCCGGCACCTTTTTTGGATGGAACTTTGTAGGTTAGGCAAGGCGGGTTGTATGACGTGTGTGAGTTCCGGCACCATTTTTTTTTTTAGAAAAAGAGCACTGCTAAGAAGATTAACAAGTACTGTGCTATATCTTTTGTCCTCAATGGGAAGATGACAAGATGACAGTTATGTAGAACTGTGGAAGAAATGATTCATTTAAATCTTTGGCAATCAGAATTCACTGAAAGTTTTTTGATTGCTTTCAAGAATGACTCATGACAGGACAGGAGTGAAGAAAGTATGGCCACCTTCTATACACACTAGAGTTTGTAGGTGTTTTTATAGTGTCATTCATAGTATCCGGGACAGCCTATGAAGACTAGGGATAAGTACAACATTTTGTAGCAGTTCTGCTGTTTCCTAAATGGGTCCAGTTAGTTGTGAGAGAAGGGAGAGATATGGCCTACAGGTTTTCCATTGTGTGCTCTGGATTTGGTCCTCTCCCCCAAACTTGTTTAACAACCATATAAAACCAATGGGAAAGGTCATCCAGTGTAAGATACCATCAGTATGAATATTTGTTACTGTATTCTATAGCAAGATTATAAAAACAGTAAAAAATACAAAAGATAAACTGAAAGTAACAAAGACTAAAGACAATAACAAAAGAAAAACCAACCAAGAAATACCGCAGGAGAAAAAGGAGCCCCCCCCTTTTAAAAAAAGAAACCATACAAATGAAATAGTAGCAATACCAAAGCATAGGATATAAATTATTGGTATTGTCCATCGCTATGGAGAGCAACTTCACAGTTTGGAGATCCTCTTGACACATGACCCTGAAGATGGAAGCTATGACTAGGAGGGCCTATGCCCAAATTCAGATGTGCACTTTGTACAATAGGGGACACTGACGATCTTGTTCATGTCACTTCACATGTAGCTTACTATAATTTTCATGGCAGAAAATTGTAGTAGACCACCCAGAAACTTCAAGTAATACAAATTGCAGAGTCTCATCTGCTTATGAGACAGACCTGTTATTGCCTTGTAACCAAATGAGTTTGCTGGAAGAGCTGCTCTAGTTTGTGGTTTGTTTCTGAGGGCATTTATGAGTGGCTTAGGGCAGGTAGCCAGGAAATCTACAAGAGATCATATTCCAAATTGATTCTACCCACCAAAACTGAGTGAACAGGGTGCCTGCTGAAGCTTCCACCCACCAAGAAGTAAAGCAGCCAAGACATTCTCTGTGACAGCTCTCAGCTTTGCCCGCTGAAATAAGGGTAAGTCCCATCCTCATTGCCTTCCAGAATTTGGCTTACCTGGAAGGCCATCGGGACTTGGGTAATAGAGTTATCAGTGACAGATGTACAATATAAAGTTAAAAATGATGTAACATAATGTAATATAGTTTCAGATTATTGGGTTTTATGTATCATATTAAATTGGCTCTTGTTGCCTTTTGAAGGGTCTTCTAAAAATTGAAGGAACTTCATAAATTGGTAGATAAATATATAAATAACATCCTTGGTTTTTTAAACAAAAGCAAGACATACCAGGTGGTTCAAGAGCTTTCCATAAATCTACATAATTTATAGTGAATTTGAAAAAGACATCTTTAATTTTGTTTTTGTAAGAATAGTTTATGTAATATATTTTAACCGAAAGCAGGAAGCTAGAAACAATAAACAAGTTAATAAGGTCCTGTGGGAGTTTCTCAGGATAAGGCTTATTAAAGGTAGAGCCTTAAATGATCAGAAGATGATTCAAAAGATTTAACTATGTTGGCTATGTGCATTTTGCCAAAACAGAAAAGGAGTGTCCAACTCAAAAAATTGTAACAAGTCACAGATTTTCTTGCGAGTTTGAGGTAGATTAAGTGGGTAGGTTGATGAATACATATAGAAAAAAAGAGACACAAACCCACATGGCATATACAATCTGTAACACCACACCACATCACACCATGACCTGAGGATCAGATGTATAGCGTGTGCATTTACTAAGTTTGCCTTCCAAATGTTATCTTTTGATGGGGAATTTCTTTGCTTTCCAGTCTTATATTTAAATCA